CTCTCTCTCTCTCTTATCTCTCCCTCTCACCTTCACGTCACGTTCCTGTTAACACGGAAAGTGTGTCTCTTCTGTCTGCCTGTGCTGTGGTCCCATTCCCGCCTGTTTAGAATGGTGGTGATTACAGCAGCCTACCCAGTGAGGACAGTTATTATCTCACAAGACAAGACTTGTATCATCATAGACACAGCGCTTTCCACATTCTATTCTGCCACCCTCAGAGCTGGCGATGCTGTGCCCTTGGCCACAAGATAGCCGCAGCAGTAGCAGGCCTCATATGCCCACGACCGCATCCAGGAAAGAAGATTTATACTTTTTTCCATGTGACTCTCTTCATTTGGAAATCTTATCCTAGAGGTGTCAACCCCTGCTTTCTACAAGGTGCTCCTGGCTGCAGGGTGGGCTGAAAACAAAAAACAAAACATGTATCTAGAAGTTCTCCTTCTCTGCCAGTAGGAAATAATGGGGGGTGAAGGGCGGGGGGAAGGTAAAGGGATGCAATAATAATAATAAAAAAGATTGTTGGGTGAGCTATTAGCACATATGCCATATTTCTCATTTTCCCTCCCATCTTCATAGAAGCCTCCCTCCTTCTTGAGTATTCACTGTCCAAGACTAGCATTCAGTTGTGTCCAAGTCTCTCCAATCTTTAAAAGGGCTTCTTTCCCAGTCCAAGTCCCTGTCCAGCAAATGCCCTTTCTTCCTCCTTCCCTTTACACTCACTGACACCCCTACCCTCTCTCCCCTCATCCTTCAACCCATTGCCATTTGGGTTCTAGAAGAACCCACCAAAACCCTCTTGCTAAGGTATTGATCACCGCTATGCTACTAAAAACAATGAGTATTTAAGATTTTTTTCAAATTTGAATTTTAGAGAGAGAGGAAGGGAGAGGGAGAGAGAGAAACATTGATGTGAGAACAAAACAGCGATCAGCATGCAACCCTGACCAGGAACTGAAAACCCCCTGCAACCTTTGGGTGCCCAGGATGATGCCCAACTAAGACACCCCGGCCGGGGATAAGAACAATAGACACTTAAAAATCTTATTTATTTGACCCAACAGCAGCATCAGCATAGCTACTTCTCATTCTTTCTTATCAAACTTCTCTACTCTTGGCTTCTTTGGAATCACACTCTCCCATTTTCCTCCATTTACACCCCCCGCCCCCACACTCCACTACCTCTCCTAAGTCTCCTTTTCTGGTTTATATTGGTCTGTACAACCCCGTAGAAGTTGGAGGTTTTAAAGCCTCAGTCATATACTCTTATCTCGCTGCATACTCCTCCAGAGCCTCAATAGTCCTCTACATGAAAACAGATCTCAAATTCTTATCTCTAGGTAAGAAATGTTTTCTGAGCCCCAAATCTGTTATCGCTCTGCATATTTTTAAAAGTATGTTTTCATTGATTTTTAGAGAGAGGGAGGGAAAGGGGTAGATAGAAACATTGATGAGAAACAGCATCGACCGGCTGCCTTTTGCACCCCCCTACTGGAGATCTGAGCCTGAAACTTGGCCATGTGCCCTGACCCAGAAATCGAACTGGTGATCTCTGGGTTCACGTGCTCAACCACTGAGCCACACCGGGCAGGCTACCTACTTAATTTAACATGTCCACTTTAATCCCGCTCCAGCACTGTAAACACTTGTATACTATTGAACTCATGTCTTCATGAATTCCTCCCCGCCCCAACCTGCCCTTTATGCTTCCTACCTCACTGCCACTTCTGTACAAGACAGAAACCCAATATGTCTTCCTGTCTACTCTTTAAAAAAAAATTTTTTTTATTGATTTCAAAGAGGAAGGGAGAGAGAGAAAGAGATAGATACATCATTGATGAGAGAGAATCATTGATTGGTTGCCTCCTGCATGTCCCCTACTGAGGATCGAGACCCCAACTCTTAACGACTCTTTCCTCAAATTCCATGCCTAATCGATCCACAAAACCTGTTCAGTCTGCTTCCAGAGTAGCAGAAGTACCCACCCTTATACATAGACAATAGTCTCTTTAACTGCTCTCTTCACATTCACCCATTCTACTTGCACTGCAATTCACTGAAATTACAGCACAGCTGCATATTGAAGACACAGTCTTATATATAACACCTTTGTTTAAAGCTCAATGGCTTTCTACAGATTTTAGAAAACTGTCTGAAACTTTTTTTTTTAATATATTTTACTGATTTTTTACAGAGAGGAAGGGAGAAGGATAGAGCGCTAGAAACATCGATGAGAGAGAAACACCAACCAGCTGCCTCCTGCACATTCCCTACTGGGGATGTGCCCACAACCAATGTACATGACCTTGACCGGAATTGAACCTGTGATCCTTCAGTCCACAGACTAATGCTCTATCCACTGAGCCAAACTGGTTTTGGCCTGCCTGCAACTCTTAACATGACTTCCAAAGCCCTGTGTGAGCTAATCCTCACTTATCTTCCCAGGCTTGTTTACACTACACTCCCCTTTCCATGTTCTAGCTGCACTGGACATTTCTGCATTTTTTCTTTTCTTTTTTTTTCTTTAAATGTATTTTATTGGTTTTCTTACAGAGAGGAAGGGAGAGGGATAGAAAGTTAGTAACATCAATGAGAAAGAAACATCCATCAGCTGTCTTCTACACACCCCCACAACCAAAGTACATGCCCTTGACTGGAATGGAACCTGGGACCCTTCAGTCCCCAGGCCGATGCTCTATCCAGTTAGCCAAACCAGCTATGGTGGTTTTCCCCATTTTTTCAAGTGCACTGTTCTCACTTGCTCCACAGCCCTTACATTGTTGTTTTTTCCATCTGGGATAGTCTTCTCCTTCGCCTACCTATACTTCTCCTGGCAGGTCATTTTCTCAGAAGTCCGTTCCCAACCCCACTCTCCATGGTTGTATGTATTATCAAGCCTCTGACGCACTCAAAACGACCCCTCTTCTGGCTTTCATCATTATTCACAATCACTTGTTCCATGTCTGCCTTCCTCTTTAGAACAGTCTGAAGTCACAAAAGCAGGGCCTTAGATTGCCTCACTTCATTATCAGTGCCAAGTACAACGCCTACCTCATAGTAGGAGAGCAATAAACATTTGATAAAAGAATAAAAGGCTATGATTCTTAAAATAGTTAAGGAATAATTAAAACATTGGGAATAATTAAAACAATTGCTCTACTGAGAGAATTTATAGGTTGCTTGAATTTTAAGACATCCACTTAAAAAGTTGACATTGAAGACCAACTCTAATTCTTCTTGAGGAAAGGTGTCCTGTGCAGGCAGCAGCTGTCTATAATCAGTTTATAATAACATTGTGTGAAAGACCTGATTGGAAAAAGTAAATAAAAATTGGAATGCAATCTGTTCGCTGTTTTTAGACTATTTTTTTTTTCAGGAAAGGGATCATTTCAAATGTAGCACCTCCTCAATTCTGTAAAGATTATCAAATGGTTGTATTGCTAGAGGAGAAATTTAATTACTATAGAATGTATAATGTGATAGCATATGCAACTTTAAATAAGTCATACAAGACTTTAGTAGCTATTAGAGACTATGCCAATTTCATGAAATTATTAAATATGGAACAGTTTTCATTTTAATGGCAACCAACCACAAAAAGCCATATCTTTAAAAAAATATTCTTATTTTTATTGATTTCAGAAAGGAAGGGTAAGAGAGATAGAAACATTAATGATGAGAGAGAATCATTGATTGGCTGCCTCCTGCACGCTGCCTACTGGGGACTGAGCCTACAACCTGGGCATGTTTCTTTGACTGGAATTGGAATTGAACTTGGGACCCTTCACTATCCACTGAGCTAAACCATCTAGGATGCCATATCTTTTTTCTTTAAGGCAGGTTGGATTTTAGTTGATATTTATTTTTAATCCTCATCCAAGGAAGGATATTTTTCCATTGATTTTTAGAGAGAGTGGAAGGGAGGGGGCAGAAGAGAAAGAGAGAGAGAGATGAGAGAAACACATAGATTGGTTGCCCCAACTAAGGTACGTGCCCTTGACAGGAATCAAACACTTCAGTCCATGGGCCCACGCTCTAACCATTGCAACTGGCTAGGGCTAAAGTGCCATACCTTGATAATAAAACATTCTCACTTAAAATTGTAAACAAAATCAGTATATATTCCTCTCTTTTGTCTTACCATGGAAAATAGCTGGAAAATAAATCATTACTTAGAAAGCAGCCATAGTAAGTATAGCTACCATAGTTGTTTTTCGGTTGTGTAATGCTCTCTAGTTAATGACATTCGAGGTACATGGGCTGTATGGTATTACAGAAGGTGACTGTCATGTTTTTTTATCCTCTCTTTTCTTCAAGGTTGGGATGGTGAAGTTCAGTAGAAATCAAAGCTTCTCACTAAGCCCCTACAAAGCCCATATAACTCTATACTGAGAGATACCTAACCCCATCACACAAAGGCCACTAATAGCAATAGAGAATTACATTGTTCCCAAATAAGCAGGATTCCATTCGGAGTGGGGACTATTTCCTCCATACAGGTCTCAAGGAACATGGGCAAAAGCATCAGTGACTGCCCCTTTCTCTCCCCTTTATATAATAGATTAAGTGGCTCTCACTGCTGCCCCCTTAGCCGTGCCCGGAAATCACCGAAGGAGAACAAGCCTAGGAAGACTACAATTCCCATCATGCCTCATGTAGGCGCCGCCGACAACTGTAGCTGTTTAGTCACCCTTTCCGCGGGCTCCTCCCACTTCCGGGACTGCCGGGCTCACGGCCTAGCGGGCGCGCGCACGCGCCCACTAGCCAATCAGACGAGGCAATGGGACTCCATGCCAACAGCGACGTGCGGCATCACGTGGCCCGCGCGTTTGCGCGCGTCCCAGAAGACCGCTGCGTGTGCGCGTCCCTGCGGAGCCGGAGGCGGGGGGCGGGCCAGCTGGGGCTGCCGGGGCCGCGGGGTCCGGCGAAGGGGAGGGCGGGGACAGCTCCCGGCCGCGAAGACGACACTTCCAGCGAGCTCGGAGGCCGAAGTTGGAGAGATGCTGTGGTCCCAGGGCGCCATTCCGGCCGCCATCGCGTCGGCCAAGAGGAGCGGCGCGGTCTTCGTGGTGTTCGTGGCAGGTGAAGGGGGCGGGGGCCCGAAATAGGGCCGGACACCTCTCCGGCCTACCTCCCACCCCAGGCCTGTTCACAGCCTCCGCTCCGGGGCTGCCCGGCCCTAGGCGTTCAGCGCCACCCCCGCCGGCTCGGGGCACAGCACCGCGGGCCTGGTCCCCACGGCCCTGGCGGGAGGCCTCGTCCCGGCCTCGCCCCCGAGCGCGGAGCCTGTCGACCCCTCTCCGCCCGGGGCGAGGAGGCGCGAGCGGCCCAGCCCGGAGCCCCCCGCCCAGCATCTCGCCCGCCTTGGGGGGGATGGGGGCACAGGCACGACTCCCCCCCACCTTCCCGCGCCCCCTTAGGGCTCTCGGTCCCGGGGGACCCACTTCGGATGCCTTAACCCGAGCGTAGTTCCTGGTGGAGGTGGGGCCTCGGCCAGGCCTCCGCGCCGGCAGCTGGGTTGGCGATGAGTTGCCGACCGTCGGGGAAGCTGTGTCATCGATAACAACAAAGGGAGACCACCTGGTGGTCACGGTTATGGGCGTTCCTGGGCCCCCCAAACGCGAACTGTTGAGCTGTGTGTGTGTGTGTGTGTGTATATATATTTGATTTTTTTAAAAAAAATTATAGTGGGGAAGGTCTAATGTGAACCATTGCTTTGTTGCAAGTAGATTTGTTTGCTTTTTTATTTTTACCTTGTGTTGAGGAGTAGGCGCTCTGTTCCTGGTTCTTTTTGTTATCTTTTGTTTTGTTTTGTTATCTTTCTGGTCTAATATCTACAATTTCCAGAATGGGTAGATATTTACCCGGATTGCTCTGGGTTAATGTGCTCCGTATTTTATTACTCCCCTATTTTATTACTGAAATCTTCTAGATTTACAGTAAACCTATGCCTCTGAGGAACTGCCGATTCTCATTACATGAGCCGAATCAGTGTCTGTGGCTACTGCTCATGTGAAGTGTATTATTTCACCTGTTTGTGTTCAATAATGTTTTACTCATTATTAACTCATGACTCTTGGGGGACTGCGTAATGGCTCTGTGGCTTTATGCACTGCAATGAGAACAAGTTGGTGAAATGCGAGTTGCAGTTAACATTAAACTGGAAATTTATCATTGCTTTGTCATGCTAAATTTATAGGTAAATCTCTAGTGCTGTTAATTTAGAAGAGTTCGAGTAGTTCATATTCTCTTACGCTGTTTCACAGTTTATATTTCACATAAAGTACCAGCTGTAATCCTGTAAGGGGGGAAAAGTAAATTAAATAGGAAAGTGAAATGATAAGATACCAGGCTTATTAAGAGTACGATAATAGTTTTATGACATTTTAAGTTGTGTTCTTTCCATAAAATCTCTATTGATTCTTGTGGTAGGTAGAATCGGGTTTTATTATCTTCTTTTATAGATGAGGAAGCTTATGTACACAGTGGTTAAGTACTTGCACCAGGGTCACAAAAAGGATTTACATATTGTCTTGACAATTTTTTTTTTTTAGCAGCTTAAAAAGGAAGTGGTTTTTGTTGTTTGTTTCTTAAGGGAAAAAATGAACAATTGTAGACTTGCTGTGATTATTAAAATGGGTGTACAAATTAGGAAATCTAGGATTAAATGGTAAGTCATGGTTTTAAGCAAAAAACACAATTGATGATGTCTGAATGTTCCCCTATAAGGTACTTTTGGGCTAATCAGTTAATTTGAAAGAAATATTTCTAGATTTAATTAACAAATATTTGAAAATCCATTTGGAAATAGTAATGCTAATTATTATAATAGTTAGATAAAGTTATAGGTTTCGGGGACTTTGTGTGTATATATTCCTTTTTCCATTAACTTTTTACTGATGAGCGTGTGTTCTATGTTTTTAGAGTATCAGTAACTGTGGATAACTATTTGCAGGAATATGGTTAGCAATCTATCAGAGTCTGTCCCTTGACCCTTTCACAATACCGTTGGCTTTTCTACCATTTTAGGTAAGATTAGTGTCCTTTCAGAAGTGTAGATAATAGTGTCATGGAACTGCCTAAACCAGTGGTCGACAAACTCATTAGTCAACAGAGCCAAATATCAACAGTACAACGATTGAAATTTCTTTTGAGAGCCGAAAACCAACTTCTGTGCATGGGCCACGAAGTTTCAGCCACACTCAAGGGGCCAAAGAGCCGCATGTGGTTTGCCGACCACTGGCCTAGATATTTGTTCATAACTGAAGCATACGGCCAGAATTTATGGTTATCTTAGATCTGAGACTTCAACAATAATACATTAACTCAGTAGAAAATTAAAAAAAAAAAAAATCTTTATAGCTGGAAGGAATGGTCTTAAGGGTAACTTTGGTTCATATAACTACTCAAGTGGGAAACATTTTAGGCAAGTTGGTAAGTGAATTTTTCATGAATGAAATAAAGAATATTAAAATATTGATGTTAGGAGACTGGAGAGATTGCTACTAGTTCAGCTAACAAATTAACAGGGATTTTCAAAGTATAATTATGTAAATTGAAAGAAGGAAAACTGGGCCTGGGCCAGATAGCTCATTTGGTTAGAATAACCTACCATAATAGGCCAAGGTTGTAGGTTCAATTTCCTATTATGGCATATATAAGAATCAACCAATGAATGCATAAATAAATAGAACAACAAATCAGCGTTTCTTTTTCCCTGCCTCTCTTTCCCCCTTTCCTCCCTCCCTTCCTTCCTTCCTCTCTCTCTCAACTCAAATCTAAAAAATAAAATATTTTTAATGTATTTTTATTAATTTCATAGAGGAAGGGAGAGAGAGATAGAAACATCAATGATGAGAGAGAATCATTGATTGGCTGCCTCCTGCATGCCCCCTACTGGGTACTGAGCCCACAACCCAGGCTTGTGCCACTGGCCCGAATCAAACCCAGGACTGTTCAGTCCTCAGGCCGATGCTCTTATCAACTGAGCAAAATGGCTAGGGCCTGCCTCAAATCATTGTTTTAAAAAATGAAAAAGATTTTGATTCTGTTCTTGGGAAGGTAGAATAATTTGACAAGGATCCTGAAGCTGAGGTGTCGGTTCACTGACTAGCGTTACTAGTGAGCTAAAATTTCATTGATAGGTACTCTTTACTGCCTTTTTGGGTTAAAATAGATGGAGGTTTTCTAAGTTGGAATTGCTGGCTCTACTAGGGTCTGCAGTTATTTACTTCTGAGTTTGTACTGTTCTTTAAGTACCTTTACTTTGGCCTGGCTGGTGTTCAGTGGTTGAGCAGTGACCCATGAACCAGGTCATGGTTTGATTCCTGGTCACGGCACATGCCCAGTTGTGAGTGCTTGGTCTCCAGTAGGGGGCATGCAGGAAGCAATTGATAATTTTCTATCATCATTGCTGTTTCTATCTCTCCTCCCTTCTCTGAAATCAATAAAAAAAAATTTAAAGTATCTTTACATTGGATACTGCTGATACTAACTACTAAGGAGAGAATATTTTCTTAAAATTGTAGGCCCATCTAACCCCTTGGCATAGTTCATAATGTAATTAAAACTAAGAAATTAAAGATTTTATTTTTGGCAATTAATAATTCCATTCAGTAACAGCTGCTGCTGCTACTAGACTGGGTCATGGACAGATACTGTTAGTGGGGAGGTGACATCTGGTACAACATAACTTCAGAAGTAGCAGATCCATGCTACCTACTTAACATCCCCCTTGGATGCCTCATAGGATTCTCAAGCCTAAAAGTATATTTACTGCCTGAACCTCTGTTTTCTCCCCCATTGTGCTGCTACTTCTAAGTAAATGGTACTGCCCCCTGGACCAAGTCCTGGTTAAGGGGACATTTTGCATGTTAGCCTTTTATTATATAGGATAAGATTTGTAGTTATTCTAAACAAGTACTTTTTTTCTGTACCATTAGATTTTAATCTCCACTCAGGGCAGACAGTGTTTCATTTGTTTTACTTATTTACTTAAGTATTTTTTATTGGTTTCATAGAGGAGAGGAGAGGGAGAGAGAGAGATAAAAACATCAATGATGAGAGAGAATCATTATCGACTGCTTTCTGCACAACCATATTGGGGATCAAGCCTTCAACCTGGGCATGTGCCCTGACTGGAAATTGAACCTTGACTTCCTGGTTCATAGGTCAACAACCACTGAACCAAGCTGACTGAGTTTGTTTTATATTTAGTTTATAGTTCAATACCTAGCACACAATAAATGTGGAATAAAACAATGAATGTATGAAAGAATAAATGAAAGGGTCCCTCATGCCTCACAGTCTTCTCTAAGAAGTGTTTATAGTGAGAATGTCATTGATTTGGAGTTTTACATATCTCTAAACCCATAGTGTCTTCCCCCCCCACCACAGTGCCTTAAGATGTGCTCAAAATGATGTCATGACAAATGATACTTTTCCCCATCTGCTGCTTCAGGCTTTTATTTTTTATTTTTTCACACACACACCTGCCATTTATATGGTCTTCTTGCTGGGAATAAAAGGTAAAGAATCGCCAAAACCGGTTTGGCTCAGTGGATAGAGCGTCGGTCTGCGGACTGAAGGTCCCAGGTTCGAGTCCAGTCAAGGGCATGTACATTGGTTGCGGGCACATCCCCAGGAGGGGGTGTGCAAGAGGCAGCTGGTCGATGTTTCTCTCTCATTGATGTTTCTAGCTCTCTATCCCTCTCCCTTCATCTCTGTAAAAAATCAATAAAACATTTTTTTTAAAAAGATAAAGAATTCACAAATATCACCATCTAAGCACCAGTTTCAAATGAAACATCACCCTTCAGCTTGCAAAATAATTTATTTACAAGTAAGCAATGGGCGGAAGAAAATGTCAGTTCTTCTGTAGAGTGTAGAGGTAAAGTATAGAGGAGGGGTATCTGCATTTCAAGATTACAGAAGCAGTTGGATAGAAGAGGCAGGACTGCCACTCCAGCAGACAACACAGAAGTATTTGCCAAATCCTGAGTTCAGAATTTTTTCTTTTCGAGATGAATATAAAAGCCCTAAAAGTTAAAGAAAAATGTTCTTCCTAACATGAACCAGCAGAAGTGCTGGATGGGCCGGAAGCCGGCCCAACTGGTGCAAAGGCCAGCTTGCTGCAGAATGCTTCAGTCCGCCATCTAAGCTCCTTCAGAAATCGTGCTTCAACATTTTGATCTTGTGTGTATTTGTGGATACATTAAAGTCCCTGTTTTTATTTCCAAGGCCAGATTTCTCAAGCCCCTATTCCTGATATTCCTGAGTTTCTTCTCACACAAAATCCTATATGCTGTGTCCTACCGTTCTTTTGATCATTGGACTAGTTGCTATGACACACACTGACCACCAGGGGCAGACGCTCTGGCCGGTGGGTTAGCTTGCTGTTGGGGACAGGGCGAGATGGCCGGACAGTTCCTTCTCAGCCCCAGTTGTGCACCAGTGGGGTCCCTCAGCCTGGCCTGTGCCCTCTCGCAATCCAGGACCCCTCTGGGGATTTGGGAGAGCCAGTTTCGGCCTGATCCCCGCAGGCCAGGCTGAGGGACCCCACCAATGTACAAATCCATGCACCGGGCCTCTAATACACTCATAAGTGCAGCATTAGTCAAGTATTGTAAACATCCAAGATACTTTACCAAAAACTTAACCTGTATTTTCTGCAAAATAGTTTTTGAAAGTCTGTTATATTCCACCTACTTATCATATGCCAGGTTTTGTTGTAGGCATTTGAGTTATTACATATCATTAAGTAAAAATGAAAACTATCCTTGCCCTTCTGGAGCCTGCATTCTCATGGAAGATACAGAGAATAAACAGTAAGCAAGGTATAAAAACATACTCTATTAAAAAGTGATATATGTTACAGAAAAAACACACATGAAATAAAGAACCTTTGAAAATATCTGAAGGGTGTATAAGTTTATTAAAGTGGTGATTAGGGAAAGCTTTATTGGGAAGATAGTATTAGAGCAAGAACTTATGGTAGTTGATAACTATGTAGATACTGTGAGAAGAACATTCCAGGGAGAGGAACCATCTAGTACCAAGACCTTAAAATGAGGGTGTCTTTCATAATTTGAGGAATAGAAAGGAATAGCAACAACGTAAAGGGAAATGAGGACAGAGATAACTGGACTTTTGTAAGGACTTTGGCTTATACTTTGAGGGAAAATAGGGAGATATTGTAGGATTTGGAGCAGAGGGTTGATGTGATCTGAAAGTTTAAGGAAAGTTGCTGTGTTAAGAATAGACTGAGCGGGGAAACCAATTAGGAAGGTATCGCAATCATCTATGTGAGATGTGATAGCATAAGTCAAGGTGGTAGCAATGAGTGTGGTAAGAGATAATTACATTCTGGATATATAGTTGACCCTTGAACAGCATGGGTCCCTTTATACCTGGTCTTTTTTCTTTTTAAATATATTGATTTTTTTACAGAGAGGAAGGGAGATAGAGAGCTAGAAACGTCAATGAGAGAGAAACATCGACCAGCTGCCTCCTGCACACCCCCTACCGGGGATGTGCCCACAACCAATGTACATGCCCTTGACTGGAATCGAACCCGGGACCCTTCAGTCCACAGACCAACGCTCTACCACTGAGCCAAACCGGTTTTGGCTACCTGGTCTTTTTTCAATAAATACATAGAGTTAAAAGTTAGATGCAGGTTTTTGACTGCGGGGGGGGGGGGGGGGGGTTGTGCCCCCTAACCCCTGTGGTGTTCAAGGGTCAACTATTTGGAGATGAATCAACTGAAGTCAATGGTAACTAAAGATTTAGCCTGAGACCTGAAGGGATGGACTTAGCATGAACAGATAACTGAGATGGGGAAGGCTAATAAATTGGGTGGTGGTGATGAAAGCAGCGTACAAAACAGCAGGTGTAGAATGATCTCATTTTTGTAAAATGAAAAATGTAGCCTGGAAATGTATTTTTTTTGTTAAATCTGTAAATTGGCAAAAGTTGCTCACCTTTTGAGAAAGTGCTTAGCTCTGCTAATGTCAGAAATATTTTTCTGTGACTTATTCAGGTAAATTTCCTTCTGTCTAGCCGTAAGTGGTTATGTTAACAGAAATGAAAATAATCTCTTGATAGGTGTGAGTTCTAAAATTTTGTCATTGGGGCATAACATACAGTGTATTAGGTGAGATACATTAAGTGAAACAGCTTGATGAAGTTTTTTTTTAAAAATATATTTTATTGATTTTGTACAGAGAGGAAGGGAGAGAGAGAGTTAGAAATATCAATGAGAGAGAATCATCGATCAGCAGCCTCTTGCACACCCCTACTGGGGATGTGCCCACAACCAAGGTACATGCCCTTGACCGGAATCGACCTTTCAGTCCCCAAGCCGACGCTCTATCCATTGAGCCAAACCGGTTTCGGCTTGATGAAGTTTTTCATATGAGTACACTTGTGTAACTGTCATCCAGGTAAGATACACACATTTTCAGCAGCCCAGAAGATTTCTTCATGTTATTTTCCTAGCACTTCCACCATAGATTAGTTTTGGGTCAGCATAACTTTTATGATTAGCATACTTATAAGAAAAAGCAAGTCCAAGACTACAAACAGACTTGTACCTGCCTCTATCTACCTTGGAGGAATTCTGGAGATTAAATATTGTGGAGAATATCGAACTCAACAGAAAGGTGCTTCATAAAGGAGGAGTACATTTATATCTAAAATCCTGTTGAAAAGCCAAAATAGTCACTACATTTATACCCATGGTTTGTAATTATTGTGGATACAAAATGGCAATATTGTGCTTTTTATTGCTTTTTATTAACAATGCATAGTCATACTTTTCATTTAATGGAAAAATTCATTTTTCAAATTTGGTAGAAAACAAATAGTTGTATTATATTTTATTTGCAATTCCAGATTTCCAGGAAAAATGAATCAGCAGATATTGGCTTTATATAATAAGAATCCTTGAAATGTTTTATAGGTGATGATGAGCAGTCTACACAGATGGCTGCAAGTTGGGAAGATGAGAAAGTGACAGAAGCATCTTCAAACAGTTTTGTTGCTATTAAAATCGATACCAAAAGGTTTGCTTAATGTTTTAATCTTTTGGGGTTTTTAAAAAATGCTTTTATTGTTTTTTTAGAGAGAGAAAGGGAGAGGGATAGAGAGAAACATTGATGAGAGAAATCTCAATCGTCTACCTCCTGCATGCCCTAATTTTTTTTTTTTTTTTAAATTTCAACTGTAGTCTTTGGTTGTGATTATGGTAATGCTTTTAGACTGTAAGAACGTTGTTTTTTATCTAAGGCATATTAGGCTGTTAAATTTGGATTGCTGTTTTCCAAATTCATCATCTTATCTTGCTGAAAACTTAAGTTCTCCTAGTCTGCTAAGCAGCAATACAAAAATACTGTGAGCCTCAGCTTCTAAGAACTTGGAAGTAACTGTAAATCATCTATTGAATATCTCTTAAAGGCTTACCACTCTTCTGAATTCTATTTTTTGGAATGGAATTAATTAAAAAAAATATTTATTGATTTCAGAGAGGAAGAGGGGGAGAGAGAGAGAGAGAAAAACAAATGATGAGAAGAATCATTGATGGCTGCCTCATGCATGGCCTCTCCTGGGGATTGACTCTGCAACCTGGGGATTAAACTGTGACCTCCTGGTTCATTTGTCGATGCTCAACCACTGAGCCACAACAGCTGGATAGGGTCAGGCAGGAGATGTTTAACAGGAATAAGTGCATTTATAGGTCCCTCATAGTACCTACTATCCACAAATCTTATTTAATATATCCCTTCCCCCCCTTAAAAAATTTTTTTATATATATATTTTATTGATTTTGTACAGAGAGGAAGAGAGAGGGATAGAGAGCTAGAAACATCGATGAGAAAGAGTCATCGATCAGCTGCCTCTTGCACACCCCCCACTGGGGATATGCCCGCAGCCAAGGCACATGCCCTTGACTGGAATCGAATCCGGGTCCCTTCAGTCCCCAAGCTGACGCTCCATCCATTGAGCCAAACTGGTCTCGGCAAAAAAAATTTTTTTAATTACAGAAAATTTCAAACATATAAGTGACTGAAGAGTGTAATAAACCCCCATATACTGTCTCCCACTTCAATAATTGTCAACTCTTGATCAGTCTTATATCATGTAAATCCCTATCAATTCCCACTTATCCTGTATAATTTTGAAACAAATCTCAGTCATATAACTTCATTTATAAATATTTTAATATGTCTTTGAAAGATAAGGATTCTTAATTTTTTGATACAATTAGAATACTTCAAAAAGAAAATAATAATTCTTTAATATTAGATATCCACCCAGTGCTCAAATTTGTAATTATCTCATCAGAGTCACAGTTTTAGTATTAATTTAATTTGTTGCAGTTGCAGTATCTCTTTTTCTTTGCAATTTATTTTTTGAAAATACCATAGTTTCCTCCAGTATGGATTTTGTTGATTGCAGCTCTGTTATGTCATTTGGTTTGTTCCTCTGACAGTTGGATTCAGGTTAGATTTTTTTTCCCCTTCAAGATTATATAGTATGTCTTCCATTAGAAGCAGCTTACAAAAGAGCATAGTGCCCTGTTATTTCTCTTTTATGATGATAGCAGTAGCCATCAATTACTGGAAACAATTCATTAGCAATTGCAATGTGGTTTTGATATTAATAATATCAGAATGAATAATGTTTGACAGTTACTATCAAAATTAAAAAATTCAGAAATTAACCTCTAAGTTTAGAAACTTTATTTAAAATTTTCAGTATTAACAAACTGCATAAAGCAAATTATAGTGTAGTCTGTTTCAAATATTACTGAACTATATATTTATTGAGTTGTAATAGTTTTTTTAAAAAAAGAATATCATTTTAATGTGTATTTTTTTGTTTTTGAGGCATTATATATATATATTTTTTTTTTAAGGAACTAATAGTTTTAGAAAAATACTTGTAATTAGTATAGTAAATTTTTATAAAAGCAGCTTAGTATTTGGGAAACATATATTCATCTAGTGATTTTTCTGTTTGATTTTGTTTTTTTTACAGTGAAGCCTGCCTACAATTTTCACAAATCTGTATCCTTTCAACGAAGAATCGGTTTTACATATTTGCTTGAGGGTTTACCTTTTTTTTCTTTATTTCAAGAAATTTATAAGTTACTCATTTTTACTTACAAACTTATGCCTTGTTAACTAGAGGCCTGGTGCATGAATTCAGGCACAGGTGGGAGAGGCCATGGGCGGTTTGCCGGCCGGCCCTGACCCCTGGTCAAACTCCCAGTCAAGGGAACAATTGGCATATTAGCATCTTATTATATAGGATGGAACTTTATATTACTAAGTCTCCTTTGAGACAGTATAATGTAGCAAATGGAATCATAGGGAGTTTATTGCAGCATCTAAAAAATAGTATGGAGCAGTATGGATGCCATGTTAGAAGTAGTTGGCAAGAGGCAATATAGATGTAAAAGTTATGATAGAGGGGAATGTAGTAGATGTTCTCCACTCAGATATGTAATACAAATAAATCATAAATCAATTCCTGTGTCACATGCAGTAATTGAAATTATTTTGTAAACATGTTAGCTGGTTATTTTGTGGAATTCACAAAGATGTTTTGTTTTGCCTTGTTAGTAGTGTTTCATAAAATTATTTCCTTGTTTTCCATGAATTGTTAGACTTAATTAAACTGTACAGATCCTGTAGTGTGTGTTCCATCCAGTTTCTTTATTGGAGACAGTGGAATTCCCTTGGAAGTAATAGCAGGAAGTATTTCTGCAGATGAACTTGTTACCAGAATTCACAAAGTCCTGCAGGTAAGAAGGAACATAATTGCTCTTCGTATAACATATGAAAATGATTAGCCAGGAACTTGACACTGGATTATTTTTGCAAGTGCTCTGTATATTCAGGGACCTGCCATGCCATTAAGTTGGAAAGGTAGTACATACTCTCTTTCTAGACTGGTTTTGAAAATAGCATTATGAAGTTAGAGGTGCTTGTACCTAATACTTCAGTGACTTCTTGTTTCCCCTTCTCTTTTTTCCCCCCTTCTCTTTTTTCCCCCTCACCCAGTCCCATAATGCATAGCACTCTTTGTTGCAAGAGAGTTCCTGTCACATTAAGATATCTAGCAGTATATTGCTTGGTATGTTTTAAGGACCTTACTCAATATCTCATTTGTATCCACTTTAAGAAAATGACTAAGATAGCTTGTAACTTCTTCCTTTGAATTGTGATTTGAAGGAAAAGTAACATTTTACTTTTAAAATCTTTTTATGCTCTTGTCAGTTTATAGTAGAATTTCATAACAAGATATTTCATGTTTAGGATTATATATTTTAGATTTATCTACTTGGAAAGTATATACTTTGACTTATTGTTGTCTCATCTGCCATGGTAAATTTAGATTTTTATCTGTTAACTTAAATTTCAATGTGTTTTCTCTCTAGATGCACTCGTTAAAAGGTGAAACATCAGAGGCAAATGGCAGCCAGTCAGAAAGTTCACACTCTACTCCATCCACCTCATTTGATCCTAATAGTACTTCTGAAAACTCTCAGTCAAGAAATGTAGAACTTTCTGAGACACTAACCACTTCTGATAAAAAGTCAGATTGCACAACAGGTAATTTTTAGTGTACATTTTGATACAGTAAAAGTACTCCTTCACTTCATTGTAATTTTTTTTATATTGATTTCAGAGCGGAAGGGAGAGAGAGAAAGAAACATCCAATTTTGTTAATCCTCACCTGTGTGTGTTCTTCAGCCCAGCCTGCACCCTCTCCAATATGGGACCCTCGAGGGAAGTCCGACTGCCCTTTTAGTCCCGATTCTGCTGACATCCCTCTCGCAATCCAGGACTGTTGGCTCCCAACTGCTCACCTGCTGCCTTCCTGGTTGCCCCTAACTGCTTCTGCCTGCCAGCCTGATTGCCCCTAACTGCCCTCCCCTGAAGGCCTGGTCACCCCCAACTGCTCTCCCCTGAAAACCTGGGTTTCCCCCTCTCCCCCAACTGCTCCTCCCTGTAGGCTCAGTCGCCCCCAACTTCCCTCCTCTGCTGGCCTAGTCACACTTACACTGCTCTCCCCTGCTGGCCTGATTTCCTACAACTGCCCTCCCCTGCTAGCCATCTTGTGGCAGCCATCTTGTGTGTTGGAGTAATGGTCAATTTGCATATTACTCTTTTATTAGATATGATAGAGGCCTGGTGCACGGGTGGGGGCCGGCTGGTTTGCCCTGAAGGGTGTCCCAGATCAGGGTGGGGGTTCTCTTGGGGCATGGGGTGGCCTGGGCTAGGGGCTTGTGGTGGTTTGCAGGCCAGCCACGCCCCCTGGCGACCCAAGCAGAGGCCCTGGTATCTGGGATTTATTTATCTTCTATGATTGAAACTTCGTAGCCTTGAGTGGAGGCCTTGGCCAGCCAGGATGTGTGGGAAACTTGGCTTTCTCCATTGCTAGGGAAACCCAAGCCTCCTGCTCACTCCATGGCCACAGCCATCTTGGTTGGGTTAATTTGCATACTCCTGATGGGCTGATAGAGGTACAGTCAATTTGCATATCACTCTTTTATTAAATGGGACTAGAGGCCCAGTGCACAAAATCTGTGCGCTCAGTAGTGGGGGGTTTCCCTCAGCCTGGCTTGCGCCTTCTTATAGTCTGGGAGCCTTTGGGGGATGTCCAACTGCGCCCGCTGCGATCACCAGCCATGACCCCAGCTTCTGGCTGAGTGGGGCTCCCTCTGGGAGTGCATTGACTACCAGGGGGCAGCTCCTGCATTGAGCATCTGCCCCCTTGTGGTCAATGCGCGTCACAGCAACCAGTTCTTTCGCTGTTGGGTCGATTTGTATATTAGCCTTTTATTATATAAGATTATATTCATATCCATACTTCAGAATTAGTAATAGCTCATTTTTTTACCTTCTCCATTCTTAGCAAAAATATGTAATGTTTAAGACACTAGATTAAGAAATGTTGTAACAAAAAAAAAATGTATACCATTTAAAAATTGGATTAAATGAAATATTTTTCTTACTTCTTTGTATTTAATAAATAAGGAGGAGAAAAATCAGACCATGCCACTTCATCTCAGGAGGCTAGCGGATATTCAAATCCAAGACCCTCGGAGGACCTCACTGTCAAAGTGGAAAGGTTTGCTTTTAATTTTACGAATAGTAGTTTATTAAAAAGACTGTGGTTTTCAGTTATTTCCTTAATTTGAGTAAAAACTAAAATTGTACAAATGAAGTTTAAGAATTCTGGGTTGAAAACTTTTTTATTACCTGACCTACTTGTTTGTATCCAGAAAGATCATTTCTGACCATTCAAAGAATCTTTTTTGTTGGCATTTTGTGGGTTTTTTTTTGTTTTGTTTTTTATTAATCCTCACCTGAGGACATTTTCCATTGATTTTTTTTTTTTTTTTTTTTTTTTTTTTTTTTTTGACAGAGTGGAAGGGATAGGGAGAGAGAGAGAGATATCAGTTGGTTGCCTCATCCAGGGCTGGGGATCTAGCCTGCAACTGAGGTATGTGCCCTTGACTGGAATTGAACCTGGGACCTTTTAGTCCATGGGCTGACACTCTAACCACTGAGCAAACCAGCTAGGGCTTCATTGGCATTTTGTAACAGAAGTGTTTCCATCTGTCACTTTTGCCTTTCTTTCTCTGCCATAGGATAATAAGTTTCTGATAGGCAAGAATTTCTGCTAATTTTATGACTATGTACTGCATACGTGGGTGTCTACTAAATGTCATATGTTATTGGTTGGTCTGATAATCAAATACAAATGTCTGGCTATTGGTTTCTAGTTTAATACTTCAATGATTTAGTAAATAGTAAATCATAGTTTTTTTACTATGATTTTTAAAAAAATATATTTTATTGAGTTTTACAGAGAGGAAGAGAGAAAAATAGCTAGAAACATCAATGGGAGAGAAACATCAATCAGCTGCCTCCTGGACACCCCCTACCGGGGATGCACCCACAACCAAGGCACACCCCCCCGACCGGAATCGAACCCGGGACCCCCCAGTCTGCAGGCCGACGCTCCATCCACTGAGCCAAACCGGTACTGGCAATTTACTATGATTCTTAAAAGTTATATGAGTTAAACAGATAAATAGGATTTTATTTATTTTTTTTAAATCTTGACTTAAAACCACTTAGTGTTATATGAACATTAAGAAAAATTCCTTAGCCCTAGCTGGTTTGGCTCAGTGGATAGAGAATCGGCCTTCACCGGTCAAGGATACATGGCTGGGTTGGGGATTTTATCCCTAGTAGAGGGCGTGCAGGAGGCAGCCAATCAGTGATCCTCTCTCATCATTGATGCTTCTCTCTCTCTCCCTTCCTCTCTGAAAGCAATAAAAAAATATATTAAAAAAAAATAAAAATACTCATACAATGAAAAATTAAAAAACAAAAAGACAAATTCCTTAGACTTGACATTTTCTTGTTTCACATAAATCCTATGGAGAAACAAGGTTCCACATGATTGCTGACATTGGGTATTTGGGTTTGTTCAGGACTCTATAAAAATCAGCTTCATACCCTAGCCTGTTTTGCTCAGTGGATAAAGCATCAGCCTGCGGACTGCAGGGTCCCAGGTTTGGTTCCGGTCAAAGGCACATGACTAGGTTGTGGCTCAATCCCCAATGGGGGGCATGCAGGAGGCAGCTGATCAATGATGATTCTCTCTCATCATTGATGGGTCTATCTCTCTCTCCCACTCTGAAATCAATAAAATATATTTAAAATTAAATAAATAAAACATGTATATTTAAAAATCAGCTTTATTTCAGAAAAACCTAGATTTTGATTGTTCTTTTTTAAATTTTATTGACTAGAGGTCCGGTGCACGAAATTCGTGCACAGGGTGGGTATGTGCCCCTCAGCCCAGCGTGAACCCTCTCCAATGTGGGACATCCCTCTCACAATCCAGGACTGCTGGCTCCCAACTGCTCGCTTGCCTGCCTGCCTGATCACCTCCTAACCACTCCCCTGCCAGCCTGATCGATGCCTAACTGCTCCCCTGCTGGCCTGATTGCCCCTAACTGCCCTTCCCTGCCCACCTGATCACTACTAACTGCTCTCTCCTGCCAACCAGTTCACCCCTAACTATCTTTCTGTGCAGGCCTGGTCACCCCCAGCTGCTTACCCCTATAACTTTGGTCTCCCTTAACTGTCCTCCCCTGCAGGCCTGGTTGCCCCCAACTGCCCTCCTTTGCAGTCCTGATCCCTCCCAATTGCCCTCCCCTGCTGGCCATCTTGTAGCAGCCATCTTGTGTCCACATGGAGGCAGCCATCTTTGACCACATGGGGGTGGCTATCTTGTGTGTTGGAATGATGGTCAATTTGCATATCACTTTTTTGTTAGATAGGATTGTTTTACAGAGAGGAAGGGAGAGGGATAGAGAGTTAGAAACATCGATGAGAAACATTGATCAGCTGCCTCCTGCACACTGCCTACTGGGGATGTGCCTGTAACCAAGGTACATGCCTTTGACCAGAATCAAACCTGGGACCCTTCAGTCTGCAGGCCAATGCTCTTATCCACTGAACCAAACCGGTTAGGGCCTGATTATTCTTAAAGGAGTTGGGCATGGTAAGGATATTGATGTGAACAGCAGGATAGATCCTCTCACAGTGATGAGCAGTGGTAGAAGGCTGGAGGAGCAGCAGCAGGAAACTGAAGTTCCCAAGGAATCATCTTCTTTTGTTTCCTTCTCTTTGGCCAACACTAAACCCATCACTGGGCACTCTTACTTGGACCACCTTTGGGTGAAGTAGAAAATCAAAAATTAAGAAAAGGATTTGGAGACTTGGTGAGAATGAGAAGAAATAGGACAGGTGGCTTTTTATTGTGGGGTAGGTCAAGTGCTATTTAATTCAGTGGGAAAGTGAAGTTTTGTGTGTTTTTTTAAATTTATTTTTAATTATAGTTGATATACATTAATAGTTTCAGGTGTGCTTCAGTGATTAGACATTAGGTACCTTACAAAATGATTACTCCGATAAATTTAGTACCCATCTGGCACCATACATAGTTATAATATTATTGATTATATCCTCTGTGTTGTACTTTATATCCCATGACTATTTTTATAATTGGCAGTTTGTACTACTTAATCCCTTTCACCTTTTTCATCCATTCCCTCAATCCACTCCTGTTATTTCTATCATGGGGAAGATAATATATAGTATCATGAGTTCTAACCTTTTATTTGGGAAGGTTTCAGTCTCAAAGAGTTTAAAGAATAGTAAAATGACCACCTTTTTTGCTGATTCATTTGAATGTTTCAGATATTTCATTTCACTTTCAATGCTTGAATGTGTATCTTCTAATAATTAAAAAATTGGTTGAGTTTCTGTTGGCTCTGAGCAGGGCCCCAGCCTCCTTTGGAGACTGGGGTCTACACCCACCAATATATGTTCTGCCCTATCCCTCAGGTCAATAAAACACACACACACACACACACATACACACACACACAACAAAACAAAACAAAAAAACAAAACAAAAAAAAACAATTGAGCCCATTGAGTGTGGTTCAGTGGTTGAGCATCACCCTATGAATAAGGAGTTCAGTCACAGTTCGATTTCCTGGTCAGGGCACATGCCTGGTTTATGGACTTGATCCCCAGTAGGGAGTCATGGAAGGAGGCGGCATAGCTCTCTCTCATCATTGATGTTTCTGTCTCTCTCTCCTTCTCCCTTCCTCTCTGAATTCAATAGAAAAATATTTTTTTAAAAATACCATTGAATAGTAGATTCCCAAATACAAAAGTGATTAAATAGTTGATTTGTCATTAAGATGCAGTAGACTTTTCAACCAAATTAGAACAAAATTGCATCTGGTAATATAATGAAAAAATGCATTTTCACATTTTAGTACAATACTGTTACCATGCTAAAGAAATGTAAATTATATTATCTAAAAATATCCATATTTCTGCAGTTATACTAATATCCTTTATAACCTTTTTCCTCAATTCAAGATCCATTCAAGGATCATTCATTGAATTTTGTTTGGTTTCTTTTTTTTTTAAAATATATTTTTATTGATTTCAGAGAGGAAGAGAGAGATAAACATCAACGATGTGAGAGAGTCATCCATTGGCTGCTTCCTGCACGCTCCTACTGAGGATTGAGCCTGCTAACCTGAATCTAATGGAACCAACTACATGTACTCCTTTGCTCAGCATTGTATTTGTGAGGCTCTTTTGTGCTGTTGGCATGTGGCAGTAGTTGGTGCACTCTCGTTGCTTGTATGGCATTCTATTATTTGACTATTGTATAATTTATCCATTTTTTAATTTTTTTAATATATTTTATTGATTTTACACAGAGAGAAATTGAGAGGGACAGAGAGTTAGAAACGTTGATGAGAGAGAAACACCGACCAGCTGCCTCTTGCACACCCCCCACTGGGGATGTGCCCACAACCAAGGTACATGCCCTTGACCGGAATCAAACCCTGGACCTTTCAGTCCGCAGGCCGATACTCTATCCACGAGCCAAACCGGTCCCGGCTATTTATCCATTCTATTATTGATGGATATTTGAATTGTTTTCACTTTGGGGCTATTTTGAATAGGGCACTATGAATATTCTTGTACATACCTTGGTGAACATACCTTTTGGCTGAATTTGTAGGGAATGGGAATTTTTTGGTCAGGTTACTGGCCAGTTTTTCAAAGTGGTTATGCCAATTTATAACTCTCCTCAGCAATAAGATGTTTCATACATCCTTTTCCCCCCCTCTAATGTATTACAGTTCACTTCTCTTATTCTTTTTGATGCACGATTGCCCCAGATTTGGTTAATAGAACCCCTTCATGCTGAGTCTTCTGTACTTTGGACAAATGTCTGATCATTCTTTGAGCACTCCCTTGATTTCTGGCATAAGTTGTTAAGCTGAGTTTTACCAACTACCTACATATACCTGTGTAACCTAAATCCCTCGCAGAGAAAATTTTATTATTTTTTAAAATTGAAATACAATTCACACACTGTAAAATTCAAAATTTACAATTCAGTGAGTATTAATATATTCACATTCTGCAAACCATTACTACTGTCTGTTTTCAGAATCATTAGTTTCTTAATTGGTGAGTTTATTACACATGAGAATTAATCATGTTATTAGTTTTTATAAATACTAGCCCTTAGTTTTTTCCTTTTATTTTTTAACAATTTTGTACCATATTGCTGTTTACTTCTGTGTAAGGGATAAAGCATTTGTAAGTCATTGATTATATATTTGTTTGTAGGTGTAGATGTGTGTATGTATGTGTATATATATCTATATATAATTTTTATATATTTTTTTAATTGATTTCTGAGAGGAAGGGGGTGGAGAGAGAGAGGGAGAGAAAGAGAAAGAGAGAGAGAGGGGAGAAGGGAGGAAAGGAAGGAGAGAGAGGGAGAGAGAAACATCAGTGATGAGAGAGAATCATTGATAGGCTGCTTCCTGCAGTCCCCACACTGTGCCCTGACTGGGAATTGAACCATAACCTCCTGGTTCATAGGTCGTCGCTCAACCACTGAGCCACACAGGCCAGGCCTAGATGTATATATTTTAAATCAATATTAAATGAATGGGGGGGAAGGAACTAGTGGTGAGTTAGGAGGTAAGGTGCTTAGAACCAGAGCCAACTTCCCAGTGGGCTTCCACAGGGACTCACCAGGATTTCTCTAGCGGCCGGGAGCAAGGCAAGTAATTAGTTGCTTTGTCTTCAGGAGCTTTGTTTGTTTGTTTGTTTCTATATTTCCCCAGTTGTTAGTAGATAAAGAAATCTTCTAAATACATTTTATATTAATATGATGTGTCTTAGTTAATGTATTTTTTAAAAAACTTTTATAATACAGACTAACCAAAAAACTTGAAGAAAGAAGAGAAGAAAAAAGGAAAGAGGAAGAACAGGTAAAGTTTGTACACTTAGCATTGTTTTATTCTTCCATTAAGTGAGGGAACATTTGACTCCCTTTTCAGTTGACAGATCTAAGATGGCTTCCTGGTTATAGTTTAGAGTTAGAGTATAGAGAAGGGATTATCTGTCTTCTGTAGTAGGATCATAGTTTATACTTTTTTAGTATTTTTTTTTGTAAATTGCTACAAGTAAATTGGCTCATTATTTCTCTCTCTGCTATTAGTCTTTTTACATTAAGAATAAAGGGACTTGAACTAAAATATTTTTGCTTTGATACAGATAAAATATTTAGTTCCTTTTTGTAAAAAATATAGACATTTTGTCAAATTTTTCCTGTCGTGTTGTTGCATTCTATTTTTCTCACCATGCACTCCTAATCTGCATCATCTGTTTAGGGTTTTAATATAAGAAAGTTATTATTTAATATATTATAGGAAAGTCAAATAAATGACTGCCTTGTTGTCCTTGAACGGTAACACATTCATCTCAGAAACCAGTGACCTGCAATTCTCTTTGTTTTCAAATTACATTGACCACATCATACTCTTAATAGAACCATTGGCAAAGCTGTATAAATTTGACCTTTATCCCATGCTGTTAATAGATTCTACTGACTTCTTACATTTTATGAAGTAAATGTACCTGCTTTCCCTGTATACAAAATAATGTTCAGGGCAGATTATTAAATAATGTTTTGAGCTCATAGAACTTTCTCTTTAATTCAGAGAGAGATTAAGAAAGAAATTGAGAGGAGAAAAACTGGAAAAGAAATTTTGGATTATAAAAGAAAGCAAGAAGAGGAATTAACAAAAAGAATGTTAGAGGAAAGAAACAGAGAAAAGGCAGAAGATAGGGCAGCTCGAGAGCGTATCAAACAGCAGATTGCATTGGTGAGTATTAAGTTTATTCTTATTGCTTGACTGTAGAACATTTATGAAATTGTTTTTCCATGCATAATGGTTTTGGTTTATTACCAGACAGTGTACACAAAAATAGATTTTAGTGGCTCAAAAAGTACTAATTCTACCAGAAAAGGGAGAAAGGAATAGAGAAAGTGTTTGAAGAAATAATGGTAGAAAAACTTCCCTAACCTGGTAAAGGAAAGTCACACAAGTTCAGGAGGCACAGAAAACCCCAAACAAGAAGAACCCAAACAGACCTATGCCCAGACACATTATAATTAAAATGCCGAAAATTAAAGACAAAGAATCTTAAAGGCAGCAAGAGAAAAGAAAACAAAGGAGTTGCCATAATTCTGACACCTGATTTCTCATCAGAAACTCTACAGGCCAGAAGGGAATGGCATGAAGTACTCAAGGTAATGGAAAACAAGGATTGAGACCAAGATCACTATATCCAGCAAGGCTATCATTCAAAATAGACTAAGAGCTTTCCAGACATAAAAAGGCTAAAGGAGTTCACCACCACCAAGCCAGCATTACAAGAAATGCTAGAGGGATTGCTGTAAAGCAGTGAGTGTTTCCCAAACTTCTCTAATGATGAGAATCACCTGGTGGAGTTGTTAAAATACAGATTCCTGAATCCCAACTAAGAAGTGCTAAACTAGAATTTTTGGGAACATATAGGTAAAATTGTATACTTAACTTTTTTGCTTAACTCTGCACTAGTTAAGTATACAATTTTACCTATATGGATTAAATGCTCTAATCAAAAGGTGTAGGGTAGCTCAATGCATACACAAACATGACCCAACTATATGCTGTCTACAAGAGATCCTCCTCAAAACAAAAGACACACGCACAGGATGAAAGTGAAGGGATAGAAAAATTTCCCCATGCAAATGGAAAAGAAAAAGACAAAAAGCTGGAATAGCAATACTCATATCCAACAAAATAGACTTTAAATGTATATATATATTTTATTGATTTTTCACAGAGAGGAAGAGAGAGGGATAGAGAGTTAGAAACATCGATGAGAGAGAATCATCGACCAGCTGCCTCTTGCACACCCCCCACTGGGGATGTGCCCGCAACCAAGGTACATGCCCTTGCCCGGAATCGAAATAAGCCAGTCGGAGAAAGATAAATATCATATGATCTCACTCATTTGTGGAATATAATGAACAATATAAACTGATGAACAAAAAATAGAGCCAGAGGGAACAAAAATATTCTAGAATATAATAGAAGTAATTCTGTTATTTGCAGATTTTTAATATTTCTTACAGCTTTCGTGATATACTATGTTAGTATAGTTTTGATAATATTATACTTTAAAATTCTTTCTTCTTGAAATATTAATGTTAATTACATGTAATATATGTAAGATCATTTTTCTTGAATAATTGGTGTTTATTGCATGTAACATTATTTAAGATAGTTTATCTTGAAATATTGAAGTTTATTGCATGTAACATATTTAAAGTCATTTTTCTTGAAATTAAAACTCTGAAAAATACCAATTCTCAGCTTCCATTTATAGAAATTGTACAGTGAATTTAAAATACAGTTAATACTAAATTTGAGATTATTTTTTTCAAACTAATTTTTTTAATGGTATGAATTTTATCAGTAGAGAAAAGGTAATTTTCAAAGATTCTCTGGAAAAGAAGCTAAGAATTGGTTACCTAGCAGTTTCCTCTAATTACGAGCATTCTTTTTTGGGACATTCAAAGGATTTAGAACATCAGGTAGAAGCTTAGGGTGGTTTAGCAACAATTGCTTTTAGAATTGAGCAGTTGTGACACATAAAAGTGAAAATTATGTCTTCCTTTATATTGTTTATTTCTTTATTCAACATATACTTATGTACTATATGCTAGACCTTATTCCAGGCTCTGGTGATACAGTAATGACCAAAATCAAGTCTGTGTTTGTCTAATAACAGTTCTGGTACCTGCAGTTGATAAAACTAAAAAAATACCAAATCCATACTGATAAAGTTAACACGTATGGCTCTAAGGGATTTTATGCATGCTTGTGTTTGGAAATATGTGAGTAGAATTCTGACAGTGAAAGAGATACTTAGCATCTAACAACTATTTTAAAGGATCGTGCAGAGAGAGCTGCTCGTTTCGCAAAGACAAAGGAAGAAGTAGAAGCTGCTAAAGCTGCTGCCTTGCTGGTTAAGCAAGCAGAAATGGAAGTTAAGAGGGATGCTTCTGCAAGAGAAAGAAGGTACTTTATTTTTTTATTATTATTTTTTCTGCTGAAATATCTTTATATATGTAGCAGCTGAGAAGAACAGTGGTTGTAGGCTGCTTTTTAACATTGATGTGTGTGCTGTGGCTATGATAAGTAGTTCCAGAAGGACATATTGATGAGTTTGGCAGCTGCCAGTGGTATTTGTTATTGAATGTGAATGTGCACTGTGATAATGTTAAATACAGACAGTCCCTGATTTATGATGGTTTGACTTAGGATTTTTCAGTGGCTGCACCTTCCTGCACACCACCTGTTTCTACTGATTCAGCACCACCCGGAGGCCTTTTGTACTTCCTGTTGTTCCTTCCCACCCTTGCTTTAACCCTGAGGGCTTTTGCCCAAGGAAGGTTGTCTTACGCTGTATTAAAGTTTTTTTTTTCTTTAAGTGAAGCAAGGAAAGAAGGAAAAGAAGGGAATCTTGTGATCTTAGAATAGACAATGATTCTAAGACATGACATCAAAAGTACAAGCAACAGAACGTGGGAGGATCCAAGATGGCTGCTCGGGTAGACATCTAGCCGCGGCAGCACACAACAATTTCAATGGAATACAACTAAAATGTAGAGTGGACATTGCCCAGAGCTACAGGTAGTCGACTGACTGAAATTTCTACAACAAGAAGGAAAGAGAAAACCAGAAGGAAAATCAGAGGAGCTGAAAAAAAGCCTAAGGTACGGAGACATGCTGCGCGCGCCTGCCAGCCCGCACGCGCGCACGGAGAGGTCGCAGCCGGAGAGGAGGAGAGGGCGGGGAGCCGCCTTTCCTTCCCTAGCAGGAAGGAAATAAAACCCCCAGCCTGGGCTGAACCCCGAACCGGCAGCGCTGAGCCCCCCCGAACCGGCAGCGCTGAGCCCCAGTTATGGGCCAGACCCTGGGGACCCAGGCTCCGGCAGGAGGAGACAGGGCCATGAGGCGGAAAAACGGCGAAAAGCAGGGCCCCGGGAGTCGCGCGCAATGCGCGCAGAGGACTGAATGTTGACTCTGATGCTGGGTTGCCCTAGCCGGAAGAAACAAGGCCTCCGGCGGCGCTGAGCCTCAGTCCGGACTGCTCCGAACCCCAGTTCTGGGCCAATCCCTGGGGACCCAGGCTCAGGCAGAGGGAGACGGGGCTGTGAGGTGGATTCCGGGGAGAGCAGCGAAAGGCCTGGCCCCCGGGACTCGCGCAAACTGCGCGCAGAGGATAGTCTGTGGGACTCGCGCAAACTGTGCGCAGAGGACAGTCTGTGGGACTTGCGCAAACTGCGTGCAGAGGACAGTCTGTTGACTCTGATGCTGGACTTCCCTAGTGGGAAGGAGAAAAAAAAAGCTCTAGGCTGGGGGAACGCGGAGGGGAGCGGAAGCCCCTGCCCGACTCCAGCCAACCAGGCACCAGCAAGGAGGCGGGCCACGAGGCCCCTGGGGGCGTGGGTGCCCCTGAGCCTTTGACCACTGAGCTCGGGCAATGGAGCCAAGGCCGGGGGCTGCTTCCTGGGCGGCGCCGTCCCGCCAACAGGCTGAAGCAGCACAGGAGCCCGCGGAGAACAAAGGGGTGCCACAGGCCAACCTGCTGAGCTCCCAGGACAAAGAGGAAGAAACCAAAGAAGTTCTCAATGTGAAGAAATCAAGTGAGAGCGAAAAATAGTAAAATTACTTAAGAAAGAATACAAAGAAGATCTTGAAAAATCAAAGACTAAGTCAGAACTCAACTCACCAGCCAACATTGCAACATAAATGCGTTTTAAAAAGAAAAAAAAAGGACAGAATGTTGGAACAGCGACGGCCAGGACTAGAGTGGCCAGGCACAAGGCAGTGGCAGCCAGACCCGGAGCAGCAACGGCCAGGCCCCAGAACAACAGCAGCCAGAACCAGAGCATCAACAGCCAGCACTGGAGTAGCCAGACCTGGGGCAGTGGCAGCCAGGCCTGAGGCGGAGGCGGCCAAGCCCAGGGTGGCCAGTCCAGGAACACCCAGACCGGGAGTGGCCGGGCCCGAAGAAGCTGGGCCCAGAGCAGCCGGGGTGGGAGCAGCCAGACCCAGAACAGCAGCAGCCAAGCCCAGAGCATCCAGGTCGGGAGTGGCCAGGCTCGGACCGGCCGGGCCCGGGGCAGCCGGGCCCAGAGCAGCCGGGTCAGGTGCGGCCAGGCCCGGAGCAGCGGCTGCCAGGCTGGGAGCGGCCAGGCCCGGGGGAGCAGGCGGGGCTGGTGCGGCCAGGCCCGGAGCAGCGGCTGCCAGGCTGGGAGCGGCCAGGCCCGGGGGAGCAGGCGGGTCGGGTGCGGCCAGGCCCGGAGCAGCGGCTGCCAGGCTGGGAGCGGCCAGGCCCGGGGGAGCAGGCGGGTCAGGTGCGGCCAGGCCCGGAGCAGCGGCTGCCAGGCTGGGAGCGGCCAGGCCCGGGGGAGCAGGCGGGTCGGGTGCGGCCAGGCCCGGAGCAGCGGCTGCCAGGCTGGGAGCGGCCAGGCCCGGGGGAGCAGGCGGGGCTGGTGCGGCCAGGCCCGGAGCAGCGGCTGCCAGGCTGGGAGCGGCCAGGCCCGGGGGAGCAGCCGGGTCGGGTGCGGCCAGGCCCGGAGCAGCGGCTGCCAGGCTGGGAGCGGCCAGGCCCGGGGGAGCAGCCGGGTCGGGTGCGGCCAGGCCCGGAGCAGCGGCTGCCAGGCTGGGAGCGGCCAGGCCCGGGGGAGCAGCCGGGTCGGGTGCGGCCAGGCCCGGAGCAGCGGCTGCCAGGCTGGGAGCGGCCAGGCCCGGGGGAGCAGGCGAGTCGGGTGCGGCCAGGCCCGGAGCAGCGGCTGCCAGGCTGGGAGCGGCCAGGCCCGGGGGAGCAGCCGGGTCGGGTGCGGCCAGGCCCGGAGTAGCGGCTGCCAGGCTGGGAGCGGCCAGGCCCGGAGCAGCAGCAGCCAAGTCCGGAGCAACTAGGTCGGGAGCGGCAGTGACCAGACCCGGAGCAGCTGGTTGTGGAATGAACCAGAGCAACAGAGGCCAGGCCCTAAGCAGCCAGGCCCAGAACAGCTCGCTCCTTGCCTGCCCCTGCCCCACGGCTGCTTCTCAGACATGGCTGGAAACTTTCGTGGGAACTTGAGGGTCTGCTGAATCAAGTGATGAAGGCTTAGATCTGGATGTGTTGAGTTAGTTTAGGACTGGGGTGTTGTTCTGTGAGTGCCTTGGGTGGGGCCTGGATGAGGCTGGTTGACCTAGTGGGAAATGTCTTTTGTGTGAAGTGTATCATTGGGCATGTGGAGGTATTATTGATATGAGAAAATGCTAAGTAACTGATTTACTATCTGAAAAGGGATTTACTATTGGGGAAATTGAGGGAAGAAGAGACTGAACATAAACTGCACCTATGGATGAGGACAATGGGGGATGGGGGGGGGGGACGGAGGGTGGGGTGGGAACCTGGTGGAGGGGGGAAGAAATGAGGAACCTTTGTAATAATATGAACAATAAAGATTGATTTAAAAAAAAAAAAAAAAAGTACAAGCAACAAAAGAACGCAATAGATAAGTTGAACTTGACCAAAATTAAAAAAAAAAAAAAAACTTTTAAAAATATATTTTTATTGATATCAGAGAGGAAGGGGGAGAGGGGTAGAAACATCAATGATGATGTTTTGCATCATATCTATCTGACAAAGGACTTGTATCTAGAATATAGAAAGAATTCCTATAACTCAACAATAAAAAGCAAACAATCCACTTTAAATATGGGGAATGGATTTGAATAGACATTTCTCCAGAGAAGATAGACAGATGGTCAATAAGCACATGAAAGGATACTCATCATCACTAGTAAGAAGGGAATACAAATCAAGATCACAGTGAGATATTATTTCTTTCCCTCTAGGGTTTCTACATTTAAAGAGACAGCAACAAGTATTAGCACGGATATAGAGAATTGGAACCTTCCTAATTGCTGAAGGGATTATAAAATGATACAGACATTTTGGAAAAAACTACTTGGCAGTTCCTCAAGACGTTAAACATAGAGTTACCATATAATCCAGCAGTTCTACTTTTAAATTTATATATTCAAGAAAATTGAAAATAGCCCAACCTATGTGGCTTAGTGGTTGAGCGTCGACCTATGAACCAGAAGGTCATGGTTCAAATTCTGTCAGGGCACATGCCTGGGTTATGGGCTCGATCCCCCCAGTGTGTGGTATGCAGGAGGCATCCGATCAATGAATTTCATCATTGATGTTTTTCTCTCTCCCTCCCCCTTCTCTGAAATCAATAAAAATATATTTTTTAAAAAGGAAAGAATTAAAAATAATTGTCCACACAAAAATCTGTACTTGAATATTTATACCAGCATTCTTCATCATAGCCAAAATGTGGTAATAACCCAAATGGTCATCAAATGAAGAATGGATAAACAAAACATATAATGGAACATTATTCAGCAATAAAAAGGAAGTATACATGCTACAACATGGATGAACCTTGAAAACAATAGTACATTAAAGAAGCCAGTTACCAAAAAGTCACATGTTATATGATTCCATCATATAAAATGCCGAAAGTAGGCAAATCTATAGATTCAGAAAGTAGATTAGTGATTGCCAGTTAGGTGAGAGAGGAATACTAGTGGGTTTGGGGTTTCTTTTTGGGGTGATAATGTTCTGGAATTAGAAATCGATGATGATTGTACAATTCTGACTAGTATGCATTAAGAAGGTAAATTTTACATTATGTGAATTATATTTCAATAGAGCTTTAAAAAATAGAAACTAAAAGGCCTGACATTGTGAAAAAAACAAAACACCTATTTTCATTGTACATTTTCACTTCAGTTTTTCTGTAACTTTTGGTATGGTTTGAGAATATGTGGAGGTAAAGATGCTGACTTAAATTTTCTTTCGTCACAGCACTGTTGCAAGAATTCAGTTTCGTCTTCCTGATGGTTCTTCATTTACAAATCAGTTCCCTTCTGATGCTCCTCTTGAAGAGGCAAGGCAGTTTGCTGCACAGGTACATTTGTCCTGAGTTGTAGTAAAGATAGATGAATAGGTTATTTAAATACAGGAGGGGAACATTTTCAAGCAGGATTTGAAGAATGTGAACAAGTCATGACTTATCCCCAGGAGGGAGGCACAGGACAACTCTGGAGTGTTGTGGAGCTTCCATTGTGGATCAGTGCCACATGGGAATGGTGTATCTACTTGTCATGCAGAAATAGGAATTTGCTGATACTATACAAGAAGCTCTGGAAAATTTTTTCACTGCTTAGTACAATCAACTTAATACAATTCAATCAAATGATTTTCCAGAGATCTAATCTTAAGGAGTTGTCCCTTGTAAAAAGGATGTAGTATTTCTTGGTCCTCTCCACTTTTCTTTTAGGTTGCTTAGAATGCTTTTGAGCTGGCCATTTTCCTACTGTCTCGCCAGTTGCCCAAGCCTAAAGACCATTAATCTTTATTTGGCAACAAGTATCTTCCTTAGGAATTTACTTCCAAAACTCTAAAATCGGCATGGGTGTGAAATTTTGTATCTTATAAAGTAAGATGAATAGCTTCCATTCGTTTTTATTTTCTGATTGATATCTTAGTGCAGTGGTAGGCAAACTCATTAGTCAACAGAGCCAAATATCAACAGTACAACAACTGAAATTTCTTTTGAGAGCTGAAAACCAACTTTTGCTCATGGGCCACGAAGTTTCAATCGCACTGTATATGCGTGGTATTTTGTGGAAGAGCCACACTCAAAGGGCCAAAGATCCACATGTGGCTCACGAGCCACAGTTTGCTGACAACTGTCTTAGTGGATTATAGTCAGCAGGTGTCCTGTAGGATCTACGCTCATTATATATATCAGTATTTGTCATATATATCACTTCATGGTTGAAATTAGAATTCAGATCTTTTCACTAGATCTCTCTGCATTTAGCCTGGTGCTTCACTTATGTGTCCCAAGGGAAGCATACTTGCTAGCTGCCTTCCTCTACTGGTGAGCTGGGTTGGACAATACAAAAACTTATTTTAAGAACTCCTTTCCCTGAGTTTTATAGCAGAACCAACCCAAATAGCCCCTTTCATTCTTCTTTTGCCTTGAATCCACACCCTGGGCCTCCTAAGAGGGGGTGCCCTGGCCGGAATCTTACTGCTTCTGCCACAAGTAAGTGAAAAGGGGGAACACCATGAAAGGGGAAAAAGCGATCTTTGATAGCATCAGTTCTATTAGAACTTCTCCCCAGAATGACCTGATTTTGTATTTGTGTATGTCCTTATGTTAAAGTGAAAACAATGAGAGGTATGTATAAGACTACAGTGAAAAATTAAAAAAACAAAACAAAAAAAACCCCTCACAGAAGTGTTAGTCTTTTTATTTTTTTTTTTATTTTTAATCTTCTAAATAGATAGTTGGCTAAGATTTTAAAAGTATGGGTAATCTAAAATTGTGAGAGTGGCTATGATGTTGCTCATTTTAATTTCCTGGATCTAGGATTATATATATGTATGGTGTGGGTTGATTATGGACCATTTATATTCTTTGAGAGAAGACAAAAACTTCTGATGTGATATATATGGGGGAAATTGTGATCTATTCCAATTATTTTAATGGGGAATACCTATAATCCAAATGTATTTATGAGATGTTAATATAAGTTTGTAAAGGAGAGTGAAAACTGCAGCTATCTTTAAGAGATGCCTAATTGTTCATTTTTATTCATTTTGTTCATATGGTTTTAGGAACTATATTTTTGATATTTTGTCATTTTTGAGTTATAGAAGCTTTTAAATAGTTTTTGGGAACTGGGACAGGGCCCAAGACATTGTTTCTTAATAAATTACTCTGAAAATAAATACCTTTTGGTTTTGACAGCTTTCAGCTATGCCAAGGTTTTAGAAATATATTTTGAGTTTATATTTAAAAGAACTTCTGGGGGAGGGGGGAATAAATAAATAAAATAAAAGAACTTCTAAAATCAAGGCAATTTTGGTTAAGGCAGTCATTTTAGATGCACATGAGTATATATCTCTTTAAAGGCACTGATGTAATGTTTTAAAACTTGTTATGTTACAGACTGTTGGCAACACATACGGTAATTTTTCATTAGCAACCATGTTTCCCAGGAGAGAATTTACCAAAGAAGATTATAAGAAGAAATTATTGGATTTGGAACTTGCCCCAAGTGCTTCAGTGGTACTGTTGCCAGTATGTATATACATATATAGTTATTCTATTCTTACAGACCTGTTTGTTTTACTCTTCATTGTTTCTTATAATTACAGAAAGTGAAGGTGAATGGTGTATTATGGATAATTAAAATCTACATTATCCAGATATGTTAGTTAGATCAGTTTATGGCTCCATTATCCTGTGCTTTATGTGTTTTTATTGCTGGTGAGGCACCAGTTTAATTTTCAACTTTTTTCCTCACCTATGTTCTTTTTTTGAAAATATATTTTTATTGATTTAAGAGAGGAAGGGAGAGGGAGAAATAGAAACATCATTGATGAGAATCATTGATCAGCTGCCTCATGCACGCCCTCTACTGGGGATTAAGCCCATAACTTGGGCATGTGCCCTTGACCAGAATTGAATCTGGGAACCTTCAGTACACAGGCTGATGCTCTATCCACTGAGCCAAATAAGCGAGGGCTCCTCGCCTATTTTCATGGACAAAAAATGACCAGTGGGAGAAGTAAGTAAATGCAGAGTATCTAATTTGCAAACTTGTTGGTTTTTTGTGTACTACTATAGTCTTCACCAAGTTTTTAAAAAAAGTCTTAATAAAAATAACATTAATTTTTGACATTAATTCCATTTGATCCTTACAACAATATTTTAATCTCTTAATGAGGAAAAGGGGCTCAGAAAGCTTAAATGACTTTACCATGCCAAAACTGGGATGAGAACTGGGTCTTCTGTTTCAAGGTTAATATAGTTTTTCCTGCTCTGAACTACCATGTTTCCCCGAAAATAAAACATCCTCCGAAAATAAGACCTACTTACAGGTTTTCTTCTGAGTGAAATATAAGGCATCCCCCCCCCCCCAAAATAAGGGCCCCCCCCCCCCCCGGTCTCAGAAATTTTGTGAAGCCTAAACTGCAAGAAGTTGTGACTTGGGTGAAGAATTCATGGGAGAAAATCACTGACAGTTGCATTGCAAATGCACTGCGAGCAGGCTACCTTGACAAGAAGTACTCATTTAAAGACAGCGCTATTGCTAAACATGAGAGATTTGGTCCACTGATTCTGAAAGAAATGGAGTCACAAGAAATTCACCAGGAAATTCAGGAATTGGATTGTTATGATGATGTTCTAGAAGATGATGACATGATTGTCATTGAATAAATGAGTAAATTCTTGATACTGTAGGATTCACAGTTTGGTTTGTGTTGACAACTACCGTACTACTGTATTGTATACAGGTAATAAATTTCCTTTATTTTCATTTAACAATAAATGTGTACCGTATTCTTCTTCATGAAAAAATAAGACATCCCCTGAAAATAAGACCTAGCGCATCTTTGGGAGCAAAAATTAATATGACACTGTCTTATTTTCGGGGAAACAGGGTAGAGTACCACCTCTGAAACAGTTAGCCCTCCAATAATCAGGATTAGTTGTATTCACTGAAATTTAAAGCCTTCCCACCTTTTTTTTAAAAAATATATTTTATTGATTTATTACAGAGAGGGACAGAGAGTTAGAAACATCAATGTGAGAGAATCATCGATCAGCTGCACACACCCCACCAGGGATGTGCCCGCAACCAAGGTACATGCCCTTGACCGGAATCGAACCTGGGACCTTTCAGCCCGCAGGCCGACGCTCTATCCACTGAGCCAAACCGGTTTCGGCCCCACCTTTTTAATAATCAAGAAGACCTTTCTTATCAGAGTTGTAATTTCAATACAAAAGTTTCGTTCACTTAAAAATAATTGATTCATTTTACCAAAAACTACCTCTGGTTTCTGTGTAGTGATTACTCCTTTAAAAAGTAGAGCTCTAGACTGGCCAGTGTGGCTCAGCGGTTGAGTGTCGTCCAAGGAACCACAAGGTCACTGATTCGATTTCCAGTATATGCCCGGGTTGCAGGCTCGATCCCCAGAGTGGGGTGTGCAGGAGGCAGCCGATCAATGATTCTCTCTCTAATTGATGTTTCTATCTCTCTATCCTTCTCCCTTCCTCTCTCTAAAAATCAATAAAAAAAATTTTAAAAAATAAAAAGCACAAGGCTCATGGCACCAGCGGGATCGGCAAGTGTTGTGGTCTTTGTATTGACCGAAAGCTCTGGACCCACTGAGATCAGAAGTGGATGATAAAACAGTACAAGAAAGTCCATTCGGGTGTGGCCCTGAAGACCAACCCTTTTGCTTCCCGTGCAAAGGGAATTGTGCTAGAAAAAGTAGAGGTTGAACCAAACAGCCAAATTCTGCCATCAGGAAGTGTGTTAGGGTCTAGCTGATCAAGAATGCAAAATAATTACAGACTTTGTACCCAGTGATGGATGTTTGAATTTTATTGAGGAAAATGACGAAGTTTTCGTTGCTGGATTTGGTCTCAAAGGTCATGCTATTGGTGACATTCCTGGAGTTCCCTTTCAGGTTGTCAAAGTAGCCAGGGTATCTATTTTGGCCTTATATAAAGGCAAGAAGAAAAGACCAAGATCATAAGTTTTGATGGTGAAATCACAGTAGTAATAAATTTTTTTTTTGATATTTTTTCCATATTTTATTGATTTTACACAGGAATTGAGAGGGATAGAGAGTTAGAAACGTCAATGAGAGAGAAACATCGACCAGCTGCCTCTTGCACACCCCCACCTGGGATGTGCCCACAACCCGTGTACATACCCTTGACCGGAATCGAACCTGGGACCCTTCAGTCTGCAGACTGACGCTCCATCCACTGAGCCAAACCGATTTCGGCGGTAATAAATTTTCATATGCCTAAATAAAATAAAAAGTATGGCTCCAGCCTTAGCCATTTTGGCTAGTGGATTGAGTGTTGGCCTGTTGACTGAAAGGTCACAAATTCGAGTCTGGTCAAGGGCACTGGACATACCTGCATTGCAGGCTTGATATGTATGGGAGGCAGCCATTCAGTGTCTCTCTCACATTGATGTTTCTTTCTCTTCCTCCCTTCCACTCTCTAAAAATCAATGGAAAAAAATATCCTTTGGGTGAAGATTAACAACAACAACAACAAAAGTAGAGCTTCAAGAGTTCCCAGAGGTTTATATACACTTAAAAAAAAAAAAACAATACAGCAAAGTTGGTAATTTTCCCTTCTTGCAATAAACTAAAATAAATAGGACTTTCTTTTCCAGATAAAAGATTTACCTAGAACTTTGTGGTGTGATTGGGCTTATGTAGTCTTCATCTAAGTTTTTTTCTTAATTTTTAGGCAGGAAGACCAACTACATCTATGGTACATTCTTCCAGTGGAGACTTTTGGACATTGTTGGGGACAGTACTTTACCCATTCCTTGCCATCTGGAGATTGATTAGCAACTTCTTATTTAGTAATCCTCCTCCTGCACAGACCTCAGTGAGAGCAACTTCGGAAACCTCAACCCTTGCAGCGTCTAGCAATTCAGAGAAAAGGTATCTGTGTTTTCCCCATTTGCAGAATGTTTGTTTGTTTGTTTATTTATTTATTTATTTTGTCTTTCCCATTTGCAAAATGTTAGTGATTTTATTCAAAATGAAAAAATTTGTTAAAGGTACCTTGCCTTCTTTCTGTATATGGGGGGAAAACTAAATGTTTTGAAGATTTTATTATATCACCTCTCGGGGGGAAGCTAACTTACATGAGTTTCCTCAGCCATCTTTTTCAAACCTAGTCTGTGGAAAGCTACTTCACCTCTGCTGGTTTTGTTACTTCATTTATTAATTCTCTTCATCCCATAACTGTAAAAGCAGATCTCCCCACCCCCCACCCCACCCACGTCTAAATAGTAATATTTTTTTCTTGCCAGCCATGTTTAATCTGACAAGATACTTCATTCCATTAATTTCTCACAATTATCTTGCACAATTTCTTTAGAGAGATTGTGCTCTAGGGAATTTTAAGCCTAGTTCTTTGGTCTGCTGGCTATCTTCTCTGTGTCATTTAGAGAAGGAGAAAACAGGAAACTGAATATTCACTTAAAATGGTGCCTCCTTCAGACAGTTTATTGGACTAGTCCCTTAACTAAGAGACCTACCTTTTACTATAGACTAGGAGCCCAGTGCACAAAATTCGTGCACTGGGGAGGGGTCTCTCCGCCCAGCCTGCCCCCTCCCACATACTGGGAGCCCCCAGAGGATGTCCTATGGATGGCCCTCTCCCCATTGGCCTCCCTTTGTGGGAGGTGACCGGGCTGATCAGGGGAAGATGCCAGCCCCATCACCCCACTGCTGCAGCCACTGCCAGTCACCGTAGCCACCAATGTATTTTCATCAACACGGACTCCAGTCCCTTTACCATGAAAAAATGACAACTTTCTTAAGCATTTTCAAGATGTCTTTTATAGGATATGATATTTCTTTTTCTTTTTATCCTCACCTGAGGATATGTTTCCATGGATATTTTCCCCTTCCCTCTGATCCCATGCTCTGCCCCTTCCCAAGCCAAAAGCCTCCGCCCCAGGTATAGGGTTGGGAAGGGGTTCTCCCCTCTACCTCCAATCGCAGGCTCTGCCCCTTCCCAAGCCTAAAGCCTCTGCCCCAGACCTTAGGCTTGGTAATTGGTTCCCCCCAGCACCTCAGATCGTAGGCTTGGCCCCTTCCTAAGCCTAAAGTCTCTGCCCCAGGCTTCTGGCTCTGGAAGGGGTCCTCTCCAGCACCTCCCCAAGCTTAAAGCCTCCACCCTAGGCTTTAGGCTTGGGAAGGGAACCCTGTCCGCACCTCCGATCGCAGGCTCAGCCCCTTCCCACCCCTAAAGCCTCTGCCCGATGGCCAGTTGGGAGTGACCTGGGTGCTGAGGAGGTTCCCAGACCCAGGTATGAATGCAAATTAACCACCATATTTGTTGGGTTAATTTGCATACTTTGATTAGCTGTGGTTATAGCGAAGGCACGATCAATTTACATGTTTCTCTTATTAGGTAAGATGGTTATGGTCAGAATGGTAATACTAATAAATAACACTAATGATTAAGGTTTTACATATTAAGATTTAACAGAAAGTTTTTCTAGGTGAGATTACACCCTCTTCTTATAATATCACAATTTATTTTAATATATATCTACTATCGTTAAATGTTCTATTAGGCTGTTAATAACCATTATAGCAAATTGGCACTCCAGTCCTATATGATAAGTAATGAAAATTCTTGCTTGTCTGCTGTCAGTAAGGAGATCCTTAGTCTTATTGACTCTCTAGATGAAGATTTGTGTAAATATTGTGATTGGGCTGATTTAGCTTTTATTTTATTTCTTTTTTAACTGCTAGGCAGGAAGACCAATTATGGCCTTAGTACATCACTCAAAGGGGGACAAAGGAAAATTCTCTATCTTAAAAAGTATTCAAACTAGGCCTTGTTAGTGCTGAACTTTAGAACTCTTACTGAGCAATGGGTGGGAGCATTTAATCCCAAGGTATTGTAGTATCTGATAGCTTGCTATGTGGGTTTTTAAACACATTTTTCAAATAATGCAACAGGACTTGTGTTGCGGAAAAGGATGGGATGAGTATATCTGAAAAGCAAAATTTTGTGTTCCATTGTTGGTTTTCCTGTTTTCTTTTTGCTCTCTCTGTTCCCGTCTAGTGTTGGAGAATGAATTACCTTAAATTTCACCTGTTTCCTTCCCATTTTCAGATAAAATCCTGCTTGTTATTAATTGCATAAATAAATTATTAAACATTATAAAAGGATTAAAATTGCTAATTACCATTTCTGGAAATTAGGCTATGATTGGAGCTTTGGGTAGCTTCTAGGGTGCTATATAAGTTATAAATGTTTTAGTAATTATGTCAGCTTGCATAAAGATTAGTTGGCAGATAGTCACACTCTTTGAAAGCTTAGTCATCAAGAAATATATGGAAGTGGAAAATACAATTGAGCTGGTTTGTCTTGGAGAACAGATGCAATTAAACTGACAAGAACATATAAAATCTAGTACTGCATTAGTAGATATAATTATCTCCCATGAACTTTCCTTAAAATATAGTTGCCTATACTAATAGAATTGTTACTGCTGTTTTCATTTTATGACTTCTCTTCTCTTCCACTTTTGTTATATCAGGGAACCTGTCAGAAAAAGAGTGCTGGAGAAACGGGGAGAAGACTTTAAAAAAGAGGGGAAGATATATAGATTGAGGACTCAAGATGATGGTGAAGATGAAAACAATACTTGGAATGGAAATTCTACTCAACAGATGTAGTGTGACAAGTACATTATGTGCAATAATCATTGTTTCTCTTATGATTTAATTCAACTAAAATTCTGCTGGAGAGGTGGGACTACTTATGTTTTTTTTAACTGATCTATAAAATGTCTCTTTATTCCTGCTTAGTGGGTTAAAGTTGTTTAACTCAGACAAGTCAAGAGATAAAATAACTCGCTGCTAGGTCCTTGCATATGGTAACCAACTGCTAGAAGCCTAAAAGAATCAAAAGGTCTGCCACAACCTCCCTTCATCAGCTTTCTTACTCAGTATTTCAGATACCCGTTAGCCCTGTGCTCTCAGATGATATGTTTCGTTTAGAACTGTTTTGCTCCAGAACGCCTAAGCTCACACGGAGTAACTACATGTCACTGAGTAATTTAACTCTGAGTCAGAGCATTTTAACTAGCCAATCAGATGATGATTTATGTTTTTTTCTCTTGCTCATCAGCTGCAAGTAAATTCTTGTAGTTTTTAATCTTAAACTCTGAATAAAAAATCTTTTCCAAAAATCAGAATGATCTTATTTTTGCTTTAAGTTTTATTATCCTAGTATCTTTTTGTTGCACAGGGCTCTGTTGAGGTCGTGTGTCTGATTTCCCACCAGTATTGCTCTGGAGCTATCTCAGGAAAGTTAACTGACCACCTTACCTTAAATATCACTGCAGGAAGAAATTTTCTGATACACATTGATGCTATGATACTGTCTCTCCTACAACAGTGAGGCATCACTTTGCATAATGTGAAAGAGATTCTTATCTGACTTACATGCTACTTCATTCATATGTTTTTGGTGGTAGAATCCTACTAAACAAACAATGCTTGGAAAAGGGAGTAAGCTCAACAGTTCCTTTTAACTTGCTTTTAGGTTGCAAGAGACCACTCTTGAGTGAACGTGTAGAAGGACTTTATTTTGTAATGGAGGGAGAAATTTCCTCAGCAAACTTTGTTTTTCACCATGAAATAACAATGACTTTTTAAAATGGTAATAGTAATGTTTTAGACAAGGAAATAGTAGGACAGGCTATGCTAGAGGTCTAAGTAAAAGCTGGTATAACCTTTTTGAAAAACATCAATAACAAATATTTCCTACTCTTGGATCCCATAATTTTTTCCTGAGAAATGATCATAAAGGCAGAAAAAAGTTTAGATATAAATATATTCATTAAGTATTATTTATTTTACCTAAGAACTAGAAATCAACTGAATGCCTTGTGTAGAAAGAACTTTCAATAAGGAGAAATGGTACAATACTAATTTAGCAATTCAATTTTTAATATATTTATTGAGTATCTGTTATATATTGGAGGGGGCAGGATATACACCTGTAGGTACAGTATGATCTTATACACATTTTAAATATAGACACTACTGTGCATTAATATAATGCAGAGAAAAAAGAAAACACACCAAATATTAACTGTGGTAAGAGTGGTCAAATGTGATTTTTAGTTGTTGTTTTTTTGCACCCTTATGTTTTCTGGATTTTCTGCAATGATCATATTACCTCCATGATTTAAAAAGTGAGCTTGAAAAAGAAAAATTCGAGCATCTCATTTTAGTAAAGGTTTGTCATCCTAAAAAAGACAGCAATATGTGATTTAAAAACAAACACTTGGCAAATGGGTGTGAGCCCATCTTTATATAATAAAAGGCTAATATGCAAATTGTCCCCTTGACTGGGAGTTAGACTAAGGGCGGGGCTGGCCGGCCAACTGCCCGCAGCCCTTCACCTTCCCACCAGCCCTGATCGGCCCCCCACCCCCACCCCAATCAGGGCGGCCTGGCCAGACCCTGCCTGTGCATGAATTTGTGCACCAGGCCTCTAGTTAGATACATATTTGCAAAAACTTGGAGAACCTCGTCAAATATAGATCTTAGAGAAATATACATAAAAGAATGGTTCACAATCCTTGAATAAGAGGATCCTTCCTCAACTTTGTATTTTAAAAAGTACACCTGGTAAAGAAAATCTCAGAGTAATATAAGAGGCTATAAAATGAAAATGAAATGTCCCTCTTTGCATCTCACCCCCAGTTTTATTCTCCAGAAGTAACCTTAATCTATTAACAGTTTCTTTTGTAATCCTCAGAAAATTTTTATGCGTAATCAAATATGTAATCTTTATATTTTAAATAAATGGGATCATATTATATATATACTACTCTGCAGCTTGTTTTTTACTTTAGTCTTCCCCTATAAGTACATAGTTATGTCACCTTATTAATTGCTATATAGCATTTTACTTGATAAATGTATCCCAATTTATTATTCATGCTCTAGTACAGCGGTCACCAACTGGTGGTCCTCGGACCACTGGTGGTCTGTGAAGTCCGAAACATTGGCAACCACTGCTCTAGTGCCATTGGTTATTTTTTTTTTGCTTCTTTTTGTTTTCCTATTACAAACATCGGTACGAATATCTTTGTGAAGGTATCTTCTTAGGTGTGAAAATGTACCTGTGGTTTGTATAACTTACTGAGTCAAAGGATGTTTGCAGTTTGGATTATTAAAAAAATCCTACTAAATTGCCTCTTCTTATGGCTCTATGAATTTATGCTCCCACATATCCTTGCCAACATTGTATTAATACCTTTTCATCTTTTTCAACATGAAAGATGAAAAACTGTCTGCATTTTTTATGCATAGTGTTGGACAAGAAGTTTAGTATCTTTTAATATTATTGGTCATTTTGATTTCTGAGAACTACCTGTTTGTTCTTGGCCAGTTTTTACTGTTTTTTCCATCTTTTTCTTACTAACTTATAAGAATTCCATGTATACTAAGAAAATCATCCCCTTGTTTAGCATATGATATAAAATCTTTTATCTTTCCATGAATATATTATTGGTAATTTTTGCCACAATATTTATGTGCTCATACTAGTATTTATCAGTGTTTTTCTTCATTGTTGTTGGGTCTTTTTTTTTAAAAAAATATATTTTATTGATTTTTTACAGAGAAGAAGGGAGAGAGATAGAGAGCTAGAAACGTCAATGAGAGAGAAAAATCAACCAGCTGCCTCTTGCACACCCCCTACCAGGGATGTGCCCGCAACCAAAGTACATGCCCTTGACCGGAATTGAACCTGGGACCTTTCAGTCCCCAGACTGATGCTCTACCACTGAGCCAGTCTGGCTTCGGCTGCTGTTGGGTCTTAAATCTTGCTTATAAATACCTTTCCCACTTTAAGAAATAATTCTTTTTTAAAAATATATTTTTTATTGATTTTTTTTTTTTACAGAAAGGAAGGGAGAAGGATAGAGAGTTAGAAACATCGATCAGGTGCCTCCTGCACACTGCCTACTGGGTATGTGTCCGCAACCAAGGTACATGCCCTTGACTGGAATCGAACGTGGGATCCTTGAGTCCACAAGTTGACGTTCTATCCACAGAGCCAAACCAATTTGGGCAAGAAATAATTCTTAAAAATTCACTCTTCTAGTATTCTCATGGCTTTGTTTTTTTACATTTAAATCTGGTATCCCAGGAAAGGCTTTGGCTCCTGTCCCCATGCCTGTGGCTAACATCCTCACGATCTAATCTGTTGACCTACCATCGTTTATGGAATAATCCATCTCAAACTCATTTGGCACGTCACCTTTGTCATGTACTTTATTCTCATAGGCTTCCTTTTCCTTTGATAATCTTTCTATTCTCTCTCTGCTACCAAACTACTTTTTATAACTGGTTATATGATGTTTTAACATTCTTTCCTCCCCTCCCCCAATTTATCCTGGCTCTTCTTACAAGTTTATTTAATATGAAACTTTATATTTTGCCCATGTCTTCATCCCCCAAATAAAAGGTTACTAAGTTTTAAAATTAATTTGGGTGTAATTGACAGCTTTTAATACTGAGTCTTTCTACCTAAGAAATAGCTTTAATATCAATTTTGGAACCACCTTCACCCCATCTAATAAGCCTTTCCTATCTATTTTTAAAAAATATATATATTTTATTGATTTTTTACAGAAAGGAGGAGAGGGATAGAGAGCTAGAAACATCGATTAGAGAGAAACATCGACCAGCTGCCTCTTGCACACCCCCTACCGGGGATGTGCCTGCAACCAATGTACATGCCCTTGACTGGAATCGAACCTAGGACCTTTCAGTCCGCAGACCGACGCTCTACCACTGAGCCAAACTGGTTTCGGCACCTTTCCTATCTATTAATGGAGAAAATTGTGTACCATAGTTCCTGACTCCCACGGCAGGGGAGCATGGGAATTTCTATAGATAACAATTCAGGTAAGGAATGCTTAGGAGAAACAAAATTTTAAGGATGGATAACTCTTTTAAAACAGTTGAAAACTTTTTTCCCAAGTGTTTTCATTTTGTTGTTGTTGCTTTTTAATTTATTCTTTCTTTTCTTTTTTTAAATATTTTTTTTATTGATTTCTAGAGAGGAAGGGAGTGGGAGGTAGAAATATCAGTGATGAAACAGAATCATTGGCCAAAACCGGTTTGACTCAGTGGATAGAACGTCGGTCTGCGGACTGAAAGGTCCCAGGTTCAAATCCGATCAAGGGCATGTACCTTGGTTGCGGGCACATCCCCAGTAGGGGGTGTGTAAGAGGCAGCTGATCCATAATTCTCTCTCATTGATGTTTCTAACTCTCTATCCCCCTCTCTTCTCTGTAAAAAATCAATACAATATATAAAAAAAAAAAAAAGAAAGAAAGAAAGAAAGAAAGAAAGAAAGAAAGAAAGAAAGAAAGAAAGAAAGAAAGAAAGAAAGAAAGAAACAGAATCATTGATTGGTTGCCTCCTGCATGCCCCACACTGGGAATTGAGCTCACAACCTGGGCATGTGCCCTGACTGGGAATCGAACCATGACCTCCTGGTTCATAGATCGATGCTCAACTACTTAGCCACGCCTTCCAGGCATGGCTAAGTAGTTGAGTAGTTGAGTATATTTTTTCAATTATAGTGATATAAAATATTATTAGTTTCAGGTGTACAACATAGTTATTAGACATTTATATAATGAATT